CTGCGATTTCCACAACGCGTTGTGACCGATTTCGATCTTTGAGCGTTACTTATATATATGGTTTATTATAACCAATTAAAATAGATAAACATGAAAATACTGCAATTTTTATTCTGTTAAAAGCACAGCTTCAAAAGTAGTGTCGAACACATATCATTAGACTGAGACATTAGATGTTTAAATATTTCAATAAAATAAAAACTACTTCAAAAGAAAAATAAAGGTGCTGTGTTTAATGCTGCCATAAACGTTGTTATTTAAAAAAAAAAACACCAAAACTATCTTTCAAATCCCTCACCAACATAGAAATATATTTATTGGTGTAAAGTTAACAAGTCAGCTAGTCTATACTAATGTCATAAAAAGTATAAAACTTAGTTTTTGGGTAAAAACGAATTAAAAAAAATAAATGAACAAATTAATTTAAATAAAAACTAAAAAGAAAGAAACAAGCCCAGTAGTTTAGAATTCTGTTAAGTAATACTAAATAACTACACAATTGAAATAGTTTTATAATCGATACACACATAAAACAAATCATAAATTCTAATGCAGCAGAACAGAACGACTCATATTCGAGGCCCTTGGGAAGATTTGACTGGTAAAATTTGAATGGGCCCCGACTGTGAGTCGTTCTGTATATAGAAATATGGCGTTCTAGAGACAGGTACAGGACAGGTAAAAATAGAAATGTGGCGTTCTAGAGACGCAAATCATAAATTCATAAATTCATTCAACGCAAATCATAATAGATGCATGAGGGTAATGTGTTTATCAGGCTATGTATGTAAACAAAAATACTAACCTCCCTTGCGTCGCGCAGTCGGGTAATAAAAAGGTAAGATTTAATTGTTTGTTTTCATTGAATACGCTCCGAAACTACTGAACCGATATTATAGTTCTTTTCTTCGGAAAGCTGCACACACGGGTTGGTTATAAATTACAACTGAAAATTGCTAGTAAAATATGAAAAAAATTTCACCCAAAGAGTCTATTTTAAGTACAAATATTCTAAGATATAATATATTTTGAGGCAATAAGCAAACGAAAGTTTTATAATCTAGTAAAACTAATTCTAAGTAGTACTTAATTAATTGTTATTATTTCAATTACCTGTGTAACCGTGCAAAGAATTAAAGATTGTAATTTATTTAAATCCCATCAAAATTACAGTTGCGTTCCCTAACGACATTAAGATTTTAATTGGCGTCCTAATTATACTTTTTTTACTGTGATTTCCAACGTCGAATTATCCTAAATGGGCTTCTAAATTCGTTAAAAATTACGTGCGTTATGTTTCATACCTTATAGCCCTTTTTATTAAATCTTATTTACAAAACGTGTCATGACATGAATCGTGGAACACATAAATAATAGAATCATCCAATTTGGTGCAGTCGGAACTGAAATTCTAAAGTTATGCGCGTACATACGTTTCGGTGAATCATTTTTATTCATCGATATTTAATAATTTTGTTTTTCGATAACTCATCAGTTATAAATTTTTTTGATATAGTGTAAAAGGCAATTATGATCTAGATTACATGCATAACCTATCTAACTTATTTATTTGAATAAAGATCAATATCGTATTGTTAAAAATAGGTTCGTAAATACCCATCAAATGGTTATTGTGGGTTATCCTTGGAATATTACCGCCGCGGACATTTTTGTAGATCTATTAAAGAGGTACATTTCTAGCATACAATGTTTTGTTATAACCAGTGGCCGGAATTAGGTAGAGTTATTCATATACTTAGACTGATTTCATACAGCGAAAGAATAAAGTGGATATGCCTCAAATCCCGAGATTAATTTTAAAGAGCAAAAAAATCCCGTGATTTTTAAATAAAAATTTATTTACTTTTACACAATTTAAACTACTGCACGCACGACGTTGCCAAACTTACATCAATGACATCGGATGTCCAAAGTTGCAAAATTTGTATTGTAAATTAATCTAAACTAATAAAAAATTTATGTTAATTATCTTTGTTTTATTTGTCTATCTCTGACGTTGTTATTATTATTTAGTTTTAAGATTGTTGGCCACACGGGATTATCCATTAGAAATCCCGGGAAGGTCCACATTAATATCAACCTTTGGATGCAAGTACATAAATAACTCTACCTTATTCCGACCTCTGGTTATAACTCAAAAGTTTTTAGCAGCGTTTTCGAGGAAAGTTTCCGCCGGCTTTAATTTTTCCAATATATTGAACTAAGATCGTTGTAATATCGTCAGTTTGTACAAAATCTAAACTTACTATACACTAAAACCAATTGAAGATTGAAGAGTTGCTCTATCTATTGTTGAAAACCGCATTAAAATCCGTTGCGTAGTTTTAAAAATTTAAGCATACATACGAATATAGAGACAGGGAAAGCGACTTTGTTTTATACTAAGTAGTGGTAGGAAATTTTGGACTATAGTGCCATAAAATATTCGGTACAAGTCAACAATAAGAGCGTCTAAAGGAAAGCACTACGGGCGCAATAAGGAAAAAAAACAGTGGCTTTTATAGCATATGTTTAAATAAATATTCACAAACACTATGGATATACAATTCATGTATATAAATAAATAAATCAGATTCAAATAACCCCTTATTTGCAAGATTGTGTTCACGGATCAGTCTCTTAATAACAACTTTGTCGGGAGCATTCTTAATGTTAAGGGGGTAGGCCATTCCAGAGTCATCGGTAATAGTGAATGAGTAAAAAATGAAACCATACGAGTGCTATCCATCTTACTTCCTACTAATATTTTAAAATATAATAAAAGTTTGTGAGGATGGATGTGTGTGTGTATGAGTGTGTGTGTCTGTTAGTTACTCTTTCACACAAAAACTACCGAATCTTGATGTTTAGTATATGGATAATTGTAAGCCTCTATTAACATTGAGGTTACTTTTTATTGCCTACATATTCAATTAGAAAATGTATAACATTTAAAAACATATATGGTGCTCAAAATTTCGTTATCCGTTAAAGATTTTCGTTTGAATGAAATTAAATCATTGTTAATACTACCTCATCGACTAATTTTTCGTTTAATTAGTAGAATGCGAATAGCAAATTCCCTTTCAATTAGCTAAATTACTTTAGTGCATGCTAGGTATATTCATAACACCAATTAACTATTATTATTCTATGATAGGGGCAATACAGTTTCGAATGATAGTAATTGCAATCTAAATGATTTATTGTGAGTCGCCATTATTATATATATATATATATATATATATATATATATATATTTATCTATACTAATATTATAAAGCTGAAGAGTTTGTTTTGTTTGAACGCGCTAATCGCAGCGCAGGAACTAATGGTTCGAATTGAATTTTTTTTTTTTGTGTTGAATAGACCATTTATCGGGGAAGGCTTTAGGTTATATAACATCACGCTGCAACTATTAGGAGCGAAGAAATAATGGAAAACGCGGACGAAGTCGCTGGCGGCCACTAGTTATTAAATATTAGTCAACATCACATAAATTGCTCAGACTCCAACATGAGTAGGTAATACCTTCGTATAATGGAATATCTAAGACAACGAAGGTAGCACAAAACCCAGACCCGAGGCAATATAGAAAAGTCAATTTTCTAAATTGACCCGATTGGGAATGGAACCCGGAACCTCCGAGATGGCGACATTGAAATCAGAGATATTTGAGCCTTAAAAAATGTAGTTTCCTGAGATTTCACTCTCTTCTGGGATACAATGCTATTCTTAGTAAATTAGCGTTTTACTGACTAACCGATTTCTCAAACGTACGCTTCGTTTGTGGACTAGTGGTTCATACTTACAAGATCGATACCATAGTGGCTACCGCGTTTGGTTTGCGATACGATTGTTAAGCTACTTTCGCAAATGCCGGTCATAGGATGGGTGAATAAAAGCTTTTTATCTTCGGAAGGTAGGCTGCATTTGCAATCGCGCTGGGACCGCGTGTTGGATCATGTATGGGCCATACATGATCCAATACGCGGTCCCAGCGCGATTCTCCCTGTGCGATTTGGTTCGATTCCATCGACAAGGAAGTCCTGAGCCCTTGTAGTGGGAATGTGAACATGACGTGGAAGGGTTGATGATTATTAAAATTTTCAGTTACTCCTTAAATTCATATCTTACGCGCCTAAAAAAATGAGCTGCAGTCAACACAAGCTTAAAGTAGTTTCTTCTTATCTTATCATATCTATATCATGCAATTAATCAGATTAAAGAATTTTGTTCGTCGTCACGGGTAATATTTGAAGGTATTGCTTGTATTTATATACTACTAGGTTTCGCCAACGGCTTCACCCGCGTGGACCCTAGGGAAATATTTAGTGGGATATCTGTGTACCAAATTTCATCAAAATTCGTTCAGTAGTTTCGGCGTGATTGACCGATAAACATCCAAACATCTGAACATCCAAACAAAGAAACTTTCACATTTATAATATTAATAATAGGATTTATAAGACTCTATGAACCTAAATACAGAGAAATAATGAATTATATCGCTGGACACCACTAGTGTGAAATTAACTTTACATGTATTTAAAAATCAATTAGCGCTTTGATTCTTCAAAAATTATTTAACAATCACATTTTTACCATATTTCAAACTTCAAGTAAATCTTTCAATAAATACATACAAAAATTAAGTTTATTACTCTATAATAGAGTATCAAATTAGAAAAAATAAAATTAGAATAAAACATTGTTATTAAGAACGTTTTCTTTGTATTATCAACTTTATGCGCAAGCATTTAAACCGAAACCAGTTATTTCATAAAGCATGAATGACGAAGCCAGCTGTGGAAAGAGGACTGACTCATTCGGATTTACTACGACAGAAACTTATATAGGTGTTTAGTAATGTGAACCATGTGTAAAGCACCATAAGGTTTGATATCTTTTATCGACACGCAAAAGTTACGTTTGTACAACTGTATTGACAATGCGCCCGCGCATTGTGAACTACCGATTCCTTACTATTGTATGTATTCAGGGTGACAGATACAGTCGAAGACGACGCACGTGTGTGCAGAAAAAAAAATTGGCGCGTTTTCGTATTTTAAATTAAATCCGAATAAATAGTAGTGTCCAAAAATTGTGATGCACGATACGATTAAATATGTAGCAAGAATTACTATAGTGACCATATTTTATTATACAGTTTTGAGTGTTTATAAAGAGATTAAAAAATACTGGACTGGAACAGAGACATCTGTTTGAATATCCAACAATCATCTTTTATCAATTAAATAAATGTAAGTATGTTATAACAAATTTTTTTTTTATTTTACTTCGTAGATAATATACAATCAACAGCACATCATTTTAAACCTTAATGTTTGGAATGTAGTGTCTAAAATCACCTAGAGAAAATTGTGGTGACCTGACGAGTAGTCTACAACACTACAGCAAAACAAACTGTTTATGTATCTAAAAACTTTTTTTTTCAATCTAAATATGTGCTATATATTTTTATAATGAAAGATAAAAATTAATTTAGTCTACCCGCACAGACAGATTAAAATATAATTTCATTTTTATATCATTATTATGTTAGAAGATAGACTATATTTATTAAGTGTTTTATTTCTCGGCGTTTACATCTTTAAAAAAATTATCAGTATCAATAAATAGTTTTCCGAGTCCTCGCATACTTGACCATTTCATTTCCCTAATACCTAGCTAAATCATAAATGACTTATTTCTCATGATAAATAACTAATTACGTCAATATAGTCACGACTACATGAGGAAGAAAACAACTAACAAATATAACGTTTCCTTGATTAAACTATTTACTATGCGATTTGCAATCCACCTCTATGATTATTATTAATTAGCAACTAACAAAGTGGCACGTAACATAGCTACAAAACTTTCTTTTTAATTTGGTCATGATAGCAATATACGTACTTAACTTTCACGTCATTTTTAAATCTCTATTAAACCTTTTTGGTTTTTTCAAAAAGTTTCTTAACATCCAAGCCAGTAAGTTATCTATGCTACGATAATTATTAAACTTTCATAATTCTAACTGCAAAAAGGATCGATTCCATGCAACGCTCAAACCATTGTTTGCAAATTTTTTATTTTACCCGTAAACGTAAAAATAAGCTTCATGTTTTACTTTAAAACTGACTGACTTCCATATAAGCTTTCAACTTTAAACTTCACCCCTTTAGAGGTTGAATTCCTTCAAGCATTGAAACAGGTTGCTCATTATTTATTAGTAGCTTAAATAAGGTTTCATGTTTCTAATTTTAAAACTGATGGACCACAATAAAAATTACTTCTATTAAGCTTAAGGATTTAATTTTCAAAATATCATTCATTCCTTTACTTCACAAAATATTCCGAAGAAGAATCAAAAGAAGTTATTTTTAAATATAAATACCAGTATTCTTATTTTTTTCCTACGTCTTCAAGTGATTTGCATAAAACCTCAAAAACTAAACCTTAACGTAAATTAAATACTTCGACAATTGGTGAAAATTGTTAGAAATTCATTTGTTAATATTTGAGTTACTATGTTCTAAAATAGTCAGACATACCTTGCTAAAGGAATTTGTTTTATAATTTGCATTTGTGATGAAACTACATATTTATAATACCTACATCTACAATATAGTCTTTGAATGGAAAATGAAATGAGTCATTTGAAAATCGATACATAATGTAATATATTATGTAAATTAAACAATTATGTTTGCATCACTTGAGAATTGGTTGAATTATTCATAAAAAACATTCAACTAAATTATCCCGTTTATTTTATATTATTAGCAGAGTGATTTGAACGCCGATTCCAAGGACTGTAGTCCTAGGTTCATTTCCCGTTCGGGTGGACTTTTGAGAATAGACTTTTTTATATTGTGTCATATCTGGGTGCTATGGTACTTCGTTGTCTCAGGTACTCCATAATTTACAGGGGCTTGAGTTAGTCATCTTGGAATCTGAGCAATGTATTTAATGTTGTCTGTATGTTTGAACACTATCATTAAAAATTTCTTATATATATATTTCTTTAAATAAAAAAAATATTATAATGACATAACAATGGAATAGCAGAATAAGTCGCTCGTTCAAGAATTTTTTTTGTAATTTTTCTCCACGAACTATTGACAGTTCTTAAATCAATCGATGAATACTCTTCACTTTATACGGCATTTAATATTTCCTCGCATTATTTCCTTTCCGGCAGTGAAATTCGAAATATATTGCTTCTACAACATGATAAATAAATGTATTTTATAAAAATATGCGCTAAGTTAAATACACGAGAACTTAAAAAAAATATTAAGTTATTAAAAATCTGCTAGATTTGGCATCCACAATGGTAAATTAATATTTATCTTGTAAAAAACACTTTGAAGATCCCGTTCTTAGAACCGGAGACGGTTCAATTTCTCATACAAGTTTTATTAAAAATAAATCAAATAACATCAAAAGTAGAGCATTGAAGCGGCAAGAATTCGTTTTATTGTCGTAAAACATTTGTAAATGTCAACAGAAAACATTATCTTGTTCGGTGACCCGTTTCTTAAAATTTCATAATGAAATCAACATTTATTCAAAATCTCTCTGTATTTGTATATAGGGCGTCCTATTTACATATTGATCTGTTTTCAAGAAATCTTGAAAGATCCGCACCTATCTCATTTATCAATATATTATTTACTAAAAATATTAAAGGTTTGTTGACTTAAATAAACTTAAATTGATTTTAGGCACGGATTTGATGACCAAACCTTATTCAATGTTTTTAAACTATGTATTTGTGTTTTTCTTTTATTAATGTTTGTTTCTATAAGTCTATTAAAAAAAAAAATAGTAACAGCAATTAAAATTGTCAAGACAATTGGACGCTGTATGTGGTGATTCTATTTTTTATATAAAAACAAAACTACTGATCCTGTTTCGATATTTTTTTACGAGAATCCGTAAAGCAAGATAATAAAGCCCTTTCATTCGATACCCTACACGGAATGATTGAATAATATATTATTTTTTAGTTTCTTACTTTATGCTCTCTAGAGGGCACTGTCTCTAATTAATTGTAACTTCTTATAACCCATAGCACGCGGACAACTAAGACGATTCTTATAATACCTCATTTGTCCTGTTAAGATGAGTAGTTTCGAAGTTATAAGGGAACAGATTAACATAGATATATACCGGCCAAAAGCATAACCCTTCTAATCGCTTCGCCGCCGTAGTCGGGTAAAAAGAATCATAACAATCGAATTCATTATTGAAGTACCATGGAACATACATATGTATAGCCAAATTAAAAACTTTTTTTTAAGTTTGATATTCATAGACTAAATTGAACCATAAGCTTAATGTAATTTAACTTTCAGATTTCTTAAGTAAGTTGAAAATTGCGGCGTCTACTTATAAATTTACAGTTGGAGATTTTGTACTAAGAAGATGTATTTTACAATAATCCGGAAGTCACTTGTTCATTTGAGCTCTAAACAGAGATAAGATTTATTAATAAATATAAGGTCATGAATGTACAAAAAAATAGATAATTCATCCGCAATGTCTGCTAAAATTTATATAAAGACGGCCGGTTTTTATATAAATTGTAGCCGAAGTGGAAAACGGGAAGGGAGTATTTTGGTTTCTGAAATAATAAAATATCATTACTTTCTGAATGGTTAAGGAGGATGGGCCATGACCCTCCACGCTGGCCCAATGTGGTTTGGAGCGCATTAACGACTGCAAATGCAGCCGGGACCAACGGCTTAACGTGCTTTCCGAAGCACGGTGTAGCTCTAAATAATAATTTTTCGGTCATCCATCCCGTAACCGACCCATGTAAAAATTGCTTAACAACAATGATCGCGGGCCATGGCGCTTATCCACAACGTCACCGAGCTAATAAAATATATATGCAATTAAAACTATAATCAATATATTTAATTAATATAATCACTACATTAAAATTCTTTAAAATATGGTATATTTGTGGTAATTCCATTAATAATACTCTTTGCAATGTATAATTATTCCAATAAATTAAAACCAAATAGTAATAATATTGCTATAAATTATTTGTTTGTGTATTGAAACTAATAATATTGTAGACTTTGTCATATTTGTACAAACAAAAATAAAACAGATTGTCTATACAGACGCGTTTTCCGGTAATTCTAAAATAGACGTAAGCATTGCCCTATCCCTTTGTACTGTAGATCCTATCCTGTATCGGGATATCCTGCCATTCGCGTTTCCCATATACTTCTTTTGGATGTACATCTTTTATTAATTCATTGTTCATACAATTCGGATGCATATAAAATGTATCACATAATTCTTTTAACAGGATTCAAGTGAGATCTTCCACAGAAATCAGCCATGGCGACATTTGTGACCTCCCTCAAAATTTGGATGTATTATAAACTTAGTTCTATTATATCTTTGATTAGCTCGGTTGCGTAGTGGATAAGAGTTACGGTGCGCAATCCTTGTTATTAAGCAACTTTCGGAAGGGTCGGCCACGGGATGGTTGACCAAAAAAAATATTATCTCGAGCTACTTCCGTGCTTCAGAAGACACGTTAAACCATTGCATTTACAGTCGTCAATACCCTCCAATCTGTATTGTGCCAGCGTGGAAGATCATGGCCCATCCTCCTGAACCATCCTCAAGGATGACTTGAGCCCCTGCAGTTGTGAAGTAAAAGTTTAAATTATTGGAAGAATTAAAATAACAAAAGCTTAAGTTCTATATAACACCGACTATCCTTCTATTATTATAATAAATATTATATATTTTTACCCGGCTGCAAAGAATGGGTTAAGTTTTTGTTAGAAATAAGAAAAGCAAAAATTTCTAATCTCATTTTTAGTTTGCAAGATTCTAATAATTATTTTTAGTCGATTTGCTTAGTTTATTATTTGAATATTTTTATCCTTATAAAGCAATCCTTATTTATTCCCAGCGTTTTCGTTACAAATTTTTCGATTGTTTATAAACAATCGAGTGAAAATATTGAAATGCTCCAATGGGTAATATAAATAATCTTTTCAAATTCCTATTTATAACTTAATATTCAAGAAATTCACGGTTGGTATAATTAATTAAATTACTAATAAAGGCGAAGCATTCTTCGGCCAAGGTCCCGACCTTTAATGAGATAATAAATTGTCATCTGACTAATTGTGATGAATAGTTTCTTGTCGTGTTATATATGTGGCGTTAAATAAGAACTTTGTTTGATGAGATATGATATAGTTGACGTACATTC